CATTACCATTTTCGGTTATAAACATTTCAAAGGTTTTCTCACCATAATCATTAGGAAGACTAGAACCCAGGGGTGGTGATACATTCAGATTGATATCGTTTAGAGGACAAGTAGTGGTTAGAGAAGAGTTATTAGCATTATTTCTTTTCGAGCTGGGTGTGTATTTTATCTGTGATACTGTATTAAAACGTACGGAAATTTTAGGTCTTTCTTTTTGTCTCATCGAGGTGGCCCGCCTTGAGGGAGAGTTATCAAATTTTGATACCTTTTTCAAACAACTTTGTGTGGCCAAAGCTCCTGAGCTTACCGAAGGTCTCATTTGCCTAGCTTCATTGTTTTTCTTCTTTTGGACTTGCAATTCTGCTTGCTTTTCTCTTTCAAACTTTTGTAAATTTCTCTCAAATTTCCTTACCACACTAGCTGTGCGTGAGTGACAACGTATATCTGAAGTATCCACTTCAAAGGAGCAGGACTTCTTTAACGGTTCCTTAACCTGCAATTTCTGCACTGCTTCCACTGTGGAAGTCAAGGTAGATTTAAGATTTTCTGGTTTGGCGGGTATAGGAGGTTTTTCCTTTACCACTTTCTTTTGGAATAATTTATCATTGTAGCATTCTTTCTCTGACTGCATAGGATTCGAGTTACGTTGCCAACGTTGCTGAGCAAAATCTGAACTAATACTTTTACTAACGCCTGAACTGTACTGTTGATTTTTATATTTTGAAGTGGGTATATCGTCGGAAACCTTAGTGGAGTTGGTAGTAGGATGTTTAAGAGAGGATTCTGATAACTTAGGATATGTTTTTGAGGTTGGTATAGGTTTTGGTGGTATAGATTTCTTTTTCTCGTTTGTCTTAATCTTTTCTATATTATAACTAGAAACATCAAAACTTGCATAGGGTGAGACGTTGGAGGCGGCGCTTGGTAGATGACGCTGTTGCATGTAGTAGTCGAAGCTGCCATAAGCATTGGGACTAGAGCCATAAGATTTGGAAACCATTTGAGCGGCTGCAATTGTCGATGTGGGACCATGTATAATGAAATTTCTTAAACCTGCATGCCGGGGTATAGGTGGTTGGGGTTTGTCGACCATGTCTACTAAAGGAGCACTCTTGCAATCGCTCTCATCTGACAATATACTTTCCATGCTATTGCAATAGCTGGCATCGTCTAGGAACTCTTCAGTTAACAAAGATTCTTGACTTCGGTCGACATTGAAAGGATTATTCGATGTTAGGAAGAAAGAGGCCGATGAGTGTCTTTGAGTCTCTAAGAATCTGGCCTCTTCCAGACGTCTAGCTTCTGCCATTTGTTCTGGATTGTCATTTAGAATATCGGATAGAGAGACCTTACGTTCACATTGATATATTTCCTGATAAACATAAAACTCTGAAAAGGAATGTTTGGGAGCCAGTGGCACATAAGGTTGTTTAACTCCTCGAGGGCTGGTGGCACCCTCGGGTGTAAAAGCTATATCTCTTTTCTGAGCCATAGGCAGATTACTACGTTGTGTGGCTAAATTTTCGGGTACCGATTTCGAAGCCACAATTTGAGAATGTCTAGTGCCGGAGGCATGATCATAAACATCTACTCCTATATCATCTAAATCACCATATTTTTTCGTGATTTCAGCTATCATTTTCTCAGTATCTGCCTGTATCATATCGAGAATAGTGCGAGCATCATCAGCATATACTGAATGACGTTTGGGTTCGGTTATAATGATGCTTTTACTGTCCGAGGACCACTCAACCTCCTCGTGAACTGGCGAAACGGGACACGATTTATAATGTTTCAAAATGCTAGGTGTACGTCTATTATTGCCATTCGGATTACGTTTGGCTCGAGCAGCTTGACTATTTGCCGGTAATGTGGAACTAGTAAAGGTTTTTTGATTAGCAGACGGTTTATTTGAATTGGAGGGACCCATAAAGGGCACACCGGGTGGGGGGTGTATTTGATGAACACCCACATGATGAGGATAGGGCGGATAATGTTGCTGAACTTTACGCATTGCTTGACAATTTTGTTGGAGCACTGACTTGGGAGCAGCGCAATTGAAGAAATACTGTTGAGGTTGCGATGGTGGTAGTGCTGGTTGTTGTGGTGGTGAATAATAATTTGGCGGAGTCCGATCGGCATAAATCGGCTTATCTGTCGTTGTACTAGTGGCACTAATATACTGTGAATTGTCAATGTTAGGATTTAAAGCTTTAGATTAGTAATTATAATTAAGGACAAAATTACACAAATTTTAGCATTAATTTTAAAAGAACATATAATTAAGTAATATTATTATTATTCAAAATTGGGCAGCATGTAGTAAAAGGGGGAAGAGCGTAAAAGAAAGATATGAATTAGCATTAAGTTATGTTTTTTAAAATTGTTTTTGTTATAACATATTATTCAATACAGTATTTAAACTAAGCTAAAGCCATTTACTTTCAAAATCTAATAAGATTTCAAAACTAAAGAAATGTTATTTTACTTTAGAAAACTTACCCGTTTTAGCATAACGATTTGCTGCTGATAAAGCTGAACGGGAACCATCTAAATTTCCAGCCAAACTTAAATCTGAGATACTGTGACTACCACGCAAAGATCGATAGCCCACCTTGAAAATAAAATTTATTATAAACAAAATTATAAAAATTTTAAGTAAATGTTATTAATTTAGATTATTCAAGTTAGGTTTTATATAAGAAATGGTTGGTTAAAAAGTTAATTGCTTTATTTTAAATATTCAAACATTTTAGTAGTATATGCGTGGAGGAACCCATATTGTTTAATGGCTTTTTTAGGGTTAATTTTAATATAAATATTATATTTGTATGGTTTATCTTCCATGCTATTTTTAGTTTAATACTTTTCAGCTACATGGTATGTATGAATGTTTGTTATCAGTTGGAATTGGTGTATGCGCACCAAATAAATGTGTGTGCTTATAGTCCCCCAACTGGTTTGTTAGTGAAGACTACATATGAAGTATCAATTAGTATTTAAAACATTGCAAGTCTATCACAAGCATCGGTGGTTCAGTGGTAGAATGCTCGCCTGCCACGCGGGCGGCCCGGGTTCGATTCCCGGCCGATGCAATACAATTTTGTTTTGTTTTTTGATTTATTTAAGATTTATTTTAAAAAAGTTAAATGTTATAAGTATTTTGATAAAATAAGCATACTAATAAAAACAATCATTTAATTAAAACCTTTTCAAATACTTTTTTCATGAAAATGTCACTTTTCCTCTAAGCATTATTAATTTAGCAAATTTTTACAAAATTCCACATCAGGTTTCGACCTATCGAGTCCTACGTTGATACGTTATAACATAGAATACTAGAATGCATTGCAAAATATCAAAAGCCTTATTGGCAACACTAAATAGGATTACCACTAAGATATTTATATGACTGGATAAGGAATAAGGATTTTGATAGGTATGCTAACGGGACCTTGTTCAATTAGGACTTTTGTCAGTAAGTGGGGTAGTAATATACTGTACTATTGCAGGTTATGCAAAGATGCTAAGGAACAGCATACGACCAAGCATGTAATTTACCACTGTCAGAATCTCAGGTTGAAATAGCACGACGAACTAAGAAAAATTACGGGACTTAAACCTCGTAGACTGATTTTATCAGGGGAATTGGTCATTTTATCGACTTTCATAGGGAATCGAGTCGGTAAATTTTCTGAGTTGAAAACCCTTGACTGTTTCCATTCATCTTTCCCCTTTACCTATGTTTTTATACCCTACACCACTTTAGTGGGGAGGGTATATTGGATTTGTGCTGATGTTTGTAACATATAAAAATATTCGTCCTAGACCCACCTTAAAGTATATTAATCGGCTTAGAATCGTTTTCTGAGTCGATTAAGCTATGTCCGTCCGTCCGTCCGTCTGGCTGGCTGTCCATGTAAACCTTGTGCGCAAGCTACAGGTCGCAATTTTCAAGATAATTGGATGAAATTTGGCACGCACGTTTTATTTGACCCAAGGAAGCCTATTGAAAATGGTTAAAATCGGTCCATTATTTCACCTAGCACCCATAGAACAGAACCGCCCGAAAAGGGCTTCTGAGCTCATAATTATGTTAAATATACAGATATATCGATAAAATACGGCACAACTAAGTTTTATAGAAGTCTTGATAACCCTGCCAAATTTCATAAAGATCGGGCCCAATTTGACCCCAGCTACCATACAAAGTCCCCTTCAGAAAATTACTTGAATGTCCCAAATTAACTTATAAACACAAATATCGCGATGAAATTCAGCACAATAAAATATTATGTAAATATAAATATATTCACAAAATTTTATCGGGCTTGGTCCATATTTGCCCCTAGCCCCCATATAAAGCCTCTTTCAGAAAATTAGTTTTTCATCCATAAATTGCTTAAATGTATCGGAACAAGGGAATATTGAAGATAAATGAGATATTATGAAAAATAAATCACATTTAATATTCATAACTGGTGTAGGGTATCATATGGTCGGCCACGCTCGACTATACTTTCTTACTTGTTTTTTCTTGTTTTTCTTCCGTTTTGTTTCTTTATCTTTGGATCATCACTTTCTATGAAAAGAATCAAAATGGACCTTATGGTCTCCGAGTGGAGTTGCTTCTGTCTATCGTGCATAACTCTTCTTAACCTAACCCATGGTATGGTAAGAAGAAGACCGAAGATATAGCACAGGTTTACCTTTATTTTAAAGTTGACAGATTGAGCATAAAAAGCATAGACTGGTCTCGGGGTGAACATTTTTGGCGTGAGTTATCAAAGGAATATTTTAGAAGTTTTAGATTCTTAAATAGTAAACGTGGAACTTATGATGTCGCTATTATTTGAATTTATTTTCTAGAGTATTAATGTAATATAGAATTCTTTGACACATTGAATCTTTAATAATTCCATAGAATACATACATGTAAGTTATGAAACTTCTCAAAATCGATTTGAGTCAGTTTTTCTCAATATTAATCCCTAGTAGTTGAGCTGAAAACAGAACCATTTAGCGGTTCAAATTAGCAGTTGAGACACATAACTACCAGAGTTACATACGAAAGATGAACGAAAATATTTCAGTCGACCTTTATCTTCATTTAGGTTGCTGGATACTTTAAAAAGTCTTCACCAGAATATAGTCTAAGTATTTTATGGTCAACACCAGTCAAAACGTAGCCTCAATATGAGGTATAACTTATTAACGCAGTTAATACAGACAACGTATAATTTGGAACAGTTATATGGAGTAATAAAATCCCCCTCAGATATGAATTGCGCCTAGAAGATTTATTATAAACAATTCCATAACTTTTTGGTTCTAATGATATAAATTTCTAAAAATTCCTTCTTAGTAATGGGTTCTTGAATTGTTGAGAAGGTGTATTCTCTAATAGTCGCACTGTCAGACTATTAAAAAAGCAATACGGTTTACTATAGAGCAGAGTATCCGAATTTGTCTCGAATCGTTCTTGGTTTCCAAAAAATACATATTTTATTTGATACAGGATCCATATGTTGGAAAAAGCTACGGCCTTTAATCAATATTTTGAATAAATTTATATCAAAGCAATGTTTCACAATAAAAGCGCCTAAAATTTAGTTTGGCATTTATTTTCAATGTCTACACCTACTAGTATTAGGGTACAAGAACTTAATTTTCTTATTCCTATGTGGTAATGAATACTTTCCATGTATTAAGAAGAATTATATCAAAACTTGTATATAAAGAAAGGCTTACAACTTGAATTAGTAAAATCAAGGATACAACCTATTCACAACAAATTTTTTATATTTTTAAATATTTTATGACATGTTATCTGTTAAAACTTATAAATAAACTATCGATAATTATGTATGTTTTTATCGATAAGCGTTTAGTGAGAAAAAGCAATTATTCAAAACTTAATAGAACACATTTGTTCTGAAACTTTTTGTTAGTTGGCAAATTTAAAAAGAATTTTGAAATTCTTAGAAAATAAACGGCATTAAATGTAAAATGTTATTAGAAATCATGAATAAATTCTGTTAAAAATGGTAGAAAGCAATTACGATTAAACGATTTTCAAAGCGTGAATTGCATGAGAAAAAGCCCGAGAATAACAAAACTACTTGTAGACAGTGTGCTCACCTCAGGTATGGCATTTAACTTTTTAACACCATTTTTACGTGAACCCTAAACATCATATACACAAATGAACCGACAGACAGTCACATTATAAATATTTTTTTTAAGGAAAAAATAAATATTTAAATAAAGTGTATAAAAAAACACCAGACACACAAATAATAAGAAAAAAAATAATAAAAATTAAAAAACAAAATCGCCAAAAAATCTGAACTATAAAGCCCTTTTTCAACTTACATTTTCCAATTTTTGTTTAGCTTCATTAATGACTTTCAATAGCTCTTCCTTTTTAGTGCTGGTATAAGATTTAGTTATAGTGGGCGGGGCGGAACTACCAGGTTTGCCTGATTCATTATTATGTTTGGCACTTATGCTGCGGCGACCTGAAAATTAAACACACCCAACAATTATAAATTGTTTTATGGAAAATTTTGTTTTTTATAATAAAAGTCTTACTAGTACTGCCTCTTTCTAGCAGATTACCAGGACCATCGGGTAGAGCGGCTTGCAGAAAGCTACTTGATGCTTGTGGTATACTTTCTGAACTGCCACCCAGCGTTGAGGCCAATGAACGATCGGCATTATCAGCACTGGGTGTAGAGCCTTCATCTTCTGTATCCGATGTGCCTGTGCCCGTACCAGTACTAGCTGTATGTGAACCATTACCACTTAAGGTTAGGCCAGCTTTCTCGAATTTCTGCCGTCTGACAGATTTTCTTAGTTCCTCTTCATTCATGGCGGTTACTTTGAAATCTCTGTAAGAAGGGGTATTCATTATTACAGTTTTCTTATGATTTTACATAAATTTCTAGACTGCTACTCACGTGGGTGTACTGGGTGATATGTTGTTGTAGAACATTCCATGATCCGAACTAGTCCTCTCACCATCCGATATATCTTCTATGTCGCCATCGTGATCATTATTGGATATGGTATCGAAACGAAGGCCAGGCTTACGTTTATCGGCCACCAGTGTTGCAGAGCTACGATTTGCTCCCGCTACCGTGGCTGTTACGGTGGGTACGGTACCAGTATTATTACTGCCTATAAATTTCAATTCTCGCCTTGTTTCCATACCTGAATCTATTGATGAGTCTTCACTTAAATATGTCTGATTGTACATGATGTCCTTGGAGGAAGCACTATTATAGTCCGATGTCTGCGTATTACCCAAACCGCTGCCATGCAAGCCTGGTCCTATACCGGCTGTTGTCGAAACACTCCCTAGAGGACTCTCCGAGTTGGAGCGTATGTCGGTGAGAGTGTCGGCATCTATTTGTCCACGTTGAGCCCAACGATTGCGGGGTCTTTGCGCCAAACCAGCCTGGCTAGGTGAAGAACTTAAGTTAGTCATAGAGGATGAATTAGCAGTGGAGGGTATATTGAGGCCAGACGGTTCATTATCTGCTGCAGCTGTTGGTGCAGCTCCAGCTTTTCGCTTGGCCCATTGTGGCAATTGACCCACATCTGAGAGTTTATAACCAGGTGTTAGAGGCACATCACCTTGCAAAATACTGGGCGATAAAGAGAATTTGTGAGCAACATCAATATCGGGTGTGGGTGACTCCACTATTATGCCTTCGGGCGCCACTAAAGCAGCCGATAAAGGCCTGGGAATAGGAGCATGACCAGAGCGTAATCTCTGTTGCGATAAGCGAGCCTGCATAGTAACAATCATATCGTGTGGCACTTGCCAAACGAAAACACAACCATCACCACTAGCCGAAATCAAATGACGACAATCGTTGGTAAATTTAAGGCCTGTCACCAATTCGCTGTGCCCATACATGCGAGCCATGCATTCATTGGAATAATAATCGTAGACGGCCAAAGTCTTGTCCGTACAAGAAGTGGCCACATAAATGCCACTCGGATCCAGGCTCAATTTAATCAAACTACCTTCATCAGAATGGGAACCCTTAAAGGTTTTGGTATGTTTTGAATTCTGAGTGCCATAGACACGTATGTTGCGATCTTGACAAGCTGTGAGTATGTGTTTGGCATTCGAGTCAACTTCCATGTCGTACAGAGTAGTTTTGCCAGATGTATGAGTACCTCGTAGGAAAATATTACCCTGCGCATTAGAGTTAAAATATTAACATAATATTGAAAGCTTATTTGTATATAAAGTGCTCACCTGAAACGTTCTAAACATAATAGATTTGTCAGCACCACACGATATCATTTGGAAATTTAAACCGGCGCCTACAAACTTAATAGACGTGATCGAAGACGAATGATCGTCTAACGTTTGCAGTAGTCTATAGTCCTGGGCCACATCAAATACATGAATCAAACGATCACGACTGGCACTGGCCAACAGTTTACGTTCGATTTTCTCATTTGAATATTCCAAACACAGAACCTCCGATTCATGAGCCTCTATTGTTGTGATCAGCTTTAAATTGTTTAAATTATAAATGCGTATATTACCACTACGATCACCACTAGCTAAATGCTGTAGTTCTGGACTTATCTTAATGCAACGTACACCGTTGCGTCCATCATAACTGGAATTGGGTATGGGAGCACTTTTATCGCTCACAATTTCCAAGTCTTTAATGAAATTCATTTCGTCATCGATATAGACAACTTTGAGTAGTTCTTTTGAATAGATATTTTTGCGATAGATTTCATTGTTGGCACAACCCTCTAGACCCCACACACGTATGGTGTCATCGGAAGAGCAGGTCACAAAAGAATCTTCGGGCAGAGTGGGTGACATTTCACGTTCCATATTGTATGGCACAGTTTCAACACCCCATATACAAGTGGAGTGATAGAGAAAGGAATGTGATTTGCCCACACGTTTTATATCTCGCATATCCCAGATGTATAAAGAATGATCGTTGTAAACACAGGTAACCTATAAAGAACAAGAGTTAAAATATTTGGCAATTAAAGAAATAAATTGTTATTTTTGAACTAACCTTAGACCTCTGCTCATCGTATGCCATTGCAATACAATCGGGATATTTAGCATGTGGTGGTACCGTCATTATATGATTGATATGTATACCCTGAGCAACATCAACACCCAAATAATGTGTTCTCGGCAATGTGGTTACATATTCCAAGGTGGTGGCATTGAAGATACGTATTATAGCCTCAGCACAACCGACCAATATGAATTGTCCATTGACAGTTATACAATTGGCATTCGTCGTACGACACTGTACCCATTTATCCAACAAACGCCGTGAACTAAACTCCACTAAGTGTCCCTGACGTGTGATGGCATATGTACTTTCGGCGGTGACACCTTTACCACAAGCCACAGCACAAAAATCATTGTCGCGTAAATCTCCCAATATGGCACTACGACCCATCAAAGGGATGGGGTCTTTGTATTTACGTCCTCCCTCTAAATACCAATATTTGACATGACGATTGCCCACCGTCACAAAATAACTACCATCTTCGGCAAAACTAACCGCCGATACTTTAGAACTAATTTTATTCGAGGCCATTTTTAAATTCGATTTCCAATCGAATACATTAACGATCATGTCATGCTGAGAGCCCACCGATACTAAATATTTACCAGTGGGTGAAAAGGCCTTTAAAGACAGAAAGTTTTATAATTTCCAGAAATTATTTCCATATAGTTCCACTTACCACACATGTTACGGCATATTTGTGATCAACAAATTCTGCTATAACATTACCGCCTGTACACTGTTCCAGATTGCCATTGGGCGCTTCTAGTTCCCATACTTTAATGGCTGGATTTATGCCGCATTCGCCGGTGGCTACATAACGTCCGCAGCGTGAAAATGCTACCGATGTGAATGCTTTGCGGGAGGTATTGACCAAATAGGCCTGTGTCTGTCTTTTGGCATTGAATAAAACAATTGTACACCTGCAAATAGAAGAATATTAAATTGTTTATAAGATTATTTCTAATTTTATGTTCCAAATCGTAAATCATATATAACAGCTAATAGTTTATATCTATTTTATATCCTCTTAAAAACCAATCATGCTTAATATTATACATTTAAAACTTTGCCCTGAAATTACACTTCCGTTTAGATCCCTCAGCATGTTTTTTATACTTGTGCTTTACTTTAGCAAAATATTTCCTCAAATCTTTTGCTACTTTTTGCCATAAAAATATATATTTATATGTAAATCATATTCAATTTACATACACATACACATATATTTATTATATACGTAAATAAAACTCCTAAGTAAACTTTTAACAAGGACGTAATCCAAACACGTTTATGAGAAGATTTTACCCTACACTGAGCAGGTTTTCTAAATTATATTTCAAGTAGAATCGAAAATTAAATGTTTATCACTCATTAAACTATTATAGGAACAATTATTTCTATATAAAAATTATTATGGATCCACTATGGCCCCAACATACATTTAGATTTTAGGTAATTTCCCAAATATATCTGAAAATAAATACTACGTGCGGGTCTGTTCAATATCTGAAAGCTTCAGACCCACAAATTTTGTTCAATTGGATTCTTCGAAGTCCCAAGATATCTAACAGTCCTGCAAGTGTTATTAACATTTAAAATATATTCGGGAATCTTTTAAATCAAGCTTTTATTAAAATTTTCAATAATAGGGTCACTCTAACTTCAGAAGCTTTTGGGGCCAAATTTAAGCATACATTCTTCTTGGTAAAAATAACAACATTTGTTATACCGAATGCCAGTTCAAGGGATTAACAAAATTATTTATTAGAAAATGGTCCAAAAACGTCAGGCGAGGCAGAATTTGTAGCTGATCGCAGATAGAATATATTAGTCAAGCGGAGCATTATAAAAAAATACCCTTTGTAAACTGGTTTAAAATAAATAGAGGATGTCATTTAGGGCAATATCATGAGATAAGATTACATCTTAGGGTTTTTGGATTGTGAGAGAGACTTATAACATTGGAAGGAGTAGTACACCTTGCAAACTGGATTAGAATAAATAGAGGTCAGCCAGAAGTCATTTTGGCAATATAAGGTGATAAAGTTAAATCTAAGGCCTTATTGGACTGTGAGAGAGACTTATAACATTAGAAGAAATACCTCTCGTAAACTGGATTAGAATAAATAGAGGATAACCAGAAGTAATTTAGGGCAATATCAGATGATAAGGCCTAATTGGACTGTGAGAGAGACTTAACCGAATATTCTTCCAAAGGTAAGCTTTGCATCATATAGGCACCATGACTATTGGGAATAATCAACATAAAGCGAACTCAAAGAAGATAATCTAACTAACGCAAAATCGTTCAATGCAACAAGGAATGAATTAAGAATCACATAAAGCCTTTGCAACGATGAACGAGAAAGATCCTATGAGGTAAACCGAGGTTGGTATCGTTCTATGAAATTTCATCCAAGAAACTGAGATTCTGAACATCAGAGAATAATACCTCTATAGAGCACTGAGTATATAAGGTTTTTCTTATCTACAGTGTCTATATAAAGGAGCTTACAAAAGGTCCGAAAGCGTACTAGGTATATTTCTTCGGATGCGCTCTTTTCATCCTAACCTAATACTTTTATGCTTAAATAAAGTACTTTTTGCTTCGAATTCAGTATATTTAAATCAAAACAATCCATTACTGGTTCGTCGAGAAAATCCATTCCTGCCGTTCGTCACATAGGTCACTTAAAGTACTTAATAGTTTAGTGTAGAGTACTAAACAATTTTGTGTAGTAAAATGCCAAACTTTTTTATGATATTTACGTTATTTTTTATATTATAGAGATTAAAAAAGATATCTGTTATATAGTGTCATATGTTAAGAGAGATATTTTGTTTGGATTATAAAGTTTGTACACGATATAAATTATACACTTATAACGATTAACTACACACAATTTATTTATGAAAATATCAAAACGATGATACGTAATCAAGGCTCTCAGACTTAAGTGGATGAAAAACTATAGCAATAGGGGGCGTGGCATCTTCTATATGAATTAAATATAAAAATTCGCATATCTGAGGAACTACAAAAGATAGAATCTTCAAATTTTGCACAAAGTATTTCGACATTTTTATGAAATGTCAATCCGTATTGGATTGTAAGAAAGCTTTAACTGAATACTCTCCCAGAGGTAAGGTTCACATCATATGGGTACCAGCCCACACGGGAGTAGCCGGTAACGAAAGGGCGAATGTAATAGCTTTAAAGGGAAGGGAGCTCGAGGCAGTTAACCTGACAAACGCAAAAACATTCGACGCAACAAAAGCTGAACTAAAAATATGGGTGAGAGAATCCCATAAGGCCTCTTGCAATAATAAAACAGTGGATAGAACCACGAAGATCCTATGGGGTGACCCTGATGAGAGCAAGACGAAGTTAGTATGATGGTACGTATTCTGAGTGGACACACAGGACTACGAGCACATCTATTCAAAATTGGACGTGCGGATTCAGACGAATGTAGAGCATGTGGAGAGGACAGTGAAACTCTGGAGCACTTTCTTTGCCACTGCCAGGCATTCGTCGAAGTTAGATCCAAGTATCTTGGAAGTGATGTTATTCCGGAAATAACATTCCTGACTAACACTGATTGGAAGATTCTTAGGAATTATGTTCAGGAAACTGAGTTTCTGAACACTGAAAAATAATTCTTTTAGTTCCCCCTTTTTTTCATGATAAGGAGCGCACAACAGGCCCTATATGAATTAAATACAAAAATTCGTATATCCGGGAAAATACTAGAGCTAGAATCCTCAAATTTTGCACGAAGAACCTTGACATCCTTATGAACATTTGGGTACTAAATTGGGGGCTAGCAATAGGGGGCATGGCATCTCCTATATCCTAATTATATACAAAAATGCGTATATCTGAAGAACTACTAAAGCTATAATCCTCAAATTTTGCAAGAAGAACTTCGACATTCTTATGAACATTTGGATAATAAATTGGTGGGCGAGCAATAGGGGGCGTGGTACTTCCTATATTAATTAAATACAAAAATTCATATTTTAGAGAAACGATTAAAGGTAGAATCCTCAAATTTTGCACAAAGAGCTTTGACATTAATGAGAATATTTGAGAAAAAATGGGTGGACTTCAAGACATCAAAAAACATTTTTTGTTATTTTTATTTCGTGTTAATACTTTGAAATATTGAAAATTTTCATCTTAGAAAATATTTATATATTTACGCTTGTTAGAGCCAGATTTTTTCACACATATAAGCAAGCTAATGTGTAAAGGTAAAATTCAGACATAAATAGATGAATGGTTGCATAAATGAATTTTGTATATTTGATAATACATCATCCTCGTCATCATCATCATCATCATAATCTAAAATGTAGTTTTTCAATTTATACATATATATTTTTTTCTATTTCGCATTTTTGGTAACAAAATACATTTTCATATGATGGAAAATTTCCATAAATTGTTAAATTTGCATAGGAAATTGTTACAATAAATTGCAGCATTTTGTCTGTATCTTTCATTTCTTTTGGCCCGTTTACATAATATTTGTTGGCATAACATTCCCACTAGATAAAAATTCATACAAATTAAAGAAAACTTGTGCTTTTTTCCTTGACGGCATAATTAAATTAAAGGAAACTACGTTTTTTTTTTTATTTTCTTCTAAAAGATGCGAAAGATTGCAATGAGAAAAAAGAAATTGTAATGAAAACTGAAAGTGAATTTAAATAAAGCGGAAACATTTTGCTTTTTTTTACAAATTGCCTGCCATATAATACATTATATATAGTTGTAACGTTCAAACATACACGCGTGCATTTGTAATTCATACTTGAACTCTTGGTAGATGATCATAATGACGATGACTCTTTTCTTTTATATTTTAGTTACTGGTTAAAAGTTAAATGTTTTATGGGGTTTTCTAAAGAAAATGTTATAAAAACATACACACACACACTTACTAAACATACATTTATATTAAACAAGAGAAGTAATAAATATATTAAGTATTAAAGAGTTGAATATTAAGTAAAATATACTATTCTAGAATATAAAATATTTAAAATGTTAAATCTTTGACTATCCCCTAATAAATGTATTAAAGTGGTTGAATTGATAATTACGTAAAAAATGCAGAGATCTTCAATAACTTTTGAAAGGCACAATACCAAATCAGTTATAACTTCGAAACAAGTCTAGTAAAAATCGATTGACTCGACTAGTGCCGTCAAAACTACAGATGGACATAAGTAGATCTGTTTAAAATTTTATCGAAATGGAGTCTACGAGAATGAAAAATCAATTCAGTAAAAGCCAATTATTTTTGTACTATAAAATCTTAACAATTATTTTAAATGATTTATCAATGGTCCTACCTACATACATATAAAGTGCTAAACCTAACAAGCATCACTCATTAAAAGGGAAAGTATCACATTTACACCATCATAACAATCCTTGTTAAATACTTAATGTAGTATTTTGTATGGCACTGTTCAGGGATGGAACATTAAAATGACTAAGGGTACCAACAAAATGTGTACTTTTAACCCAAAATTTAAACAACATATTAGTTTAATAGTGAGATAATTGTATTACAATCTTTAAGGTTTTATTGAAATTATTACTAGGCGACGCTAAAGGGTAGTGTTCCATAACCTCTACTCTATTTGATACCAAAGGTAGGAAGGTTACTTTTTATTTAAGACGAATTGTTTAGTTTTACTGAATGTCGAATTGCTTTACGGTGACCTTTTTTATCCACTGGGTGACCATTGCTGAACCGTTACTTAACTTCCGAGATGCAAAAGCATCACTTCCGTTTACAACCACGCAGATGGGGAGGCCTCTCTCAAGTTGGTAAAAGCACCTAGAGTCCTATTCGGTAGACCGAAACACGAATCCACTAAATAAGCCGAGGACTTTGGTCTT